TCGGCGGAATGAATACACCCCTGAGCACATGCAAACATAACTAGCAGCCACATGTAGGGTGTGTTCGTAATTATATCTGGAGCGCCAGAGTGTGCTCGGAGTGCGCTCATACATCCAGAGCGTTGTCAGAATATCCGTTCGTAAATTCAGAGCGATTCGCTCTCGGAGCGGACACTGGGAGCGTTCGGAGCGGACACTGGGAGCGTTCGGAGCGGACACTGGGAGCGTTCGGAGCGGACACTGGGAGCGTTCGGAGCGGACACTGGGAGCGTTCGGAGCGGACACTGGGAGCGTTCGGAGCGGACACTGGGAGCGTTCGGAGCGGACACTGGGAGCGTTCGGAGCGGACACTGGGAGCGTTCGGAGCGGACACTGGGAGCGTTCGGAGCGGACACTGGGAGCGTTCGGAGCGGACACTGGGAGCGTTCGGAGCGGACACTGGGAGCGTTCAGAGCGGACACTGGGAGCGTTCAGAGCGGACACTGGGAGCGTTCAGACTGGGAGCGTTCAGAGCGGACACTGGGAGCGTTCAGAGCGGACACTGGGAGCGTTCAGAGCGGACACTGGATGCTCTAGTCGAGGAGTAGAGTTGATCCGAGCGTTCTGAACCTCACAACAGCAGTCAAGCACACCAAGCTAACTGGCTAACGTTGGCAAGCTTTCTAGCTACTTCCAGACACAAATGAGAGAACACCTCACTCTGACCATTTCACTCGCCCTAGCAGAGCTGGTTAGGCTGTTTTTCATGTTATCCAGAGCGCTGGTGACTAACTGTGCTGCCGGCATCAATTTAATTCCGTTTTCTCGCCGACGTTTACTGACACCGGGAATATTCCAACGGGTGTTACGCGTTCGGTAATCATCAGTTATTCTGCGCTCTGGCACACTCAGACGAGATAGCCTGGAGTGCATTTACGAACGCACCCTAAAATAAACCACATGATCACTTTGCTCGTTGTTATGTACAATTCATTGTCGCATCTAAGCTCTCTCCTCCTCTAACCTTTTCCCTTCGCTTGTGGACTTCTGTGTACAATACAACAACTGTCTGGTAGGTTTTGACACTTATGGATGTGTCATAACCAGCCGTAAAATAATGTAATATGTCACAACAGGTCTAACTATGTGCCATGACAGTGTTATGACAAGTTATGACGCTGGGTGTCAAGCAAAGTGTTACCCACTTTTGTTTACGGTCTAATTCACTTGCTTTGGCAGATGCAAACATATGTTTCCCCATGTCATTGAAGCCCTTAAGAGTTTAGAGAGAGCCAAGAGTAGTTAGACTAACTTCTCTCATCTGGTGGTGTCGGTCTTGACTGAATCAAATCGATGTTAAGAAGCTAGCTACCTACAGTAGCCAGCTAATGTAGTTAGCCGGCTAGCTAGCTAACGTAGCAAGTCTAATGGAGTCCATTTTGCTGTGCTCCCCGTCCTTGTCTACAACAACAACAACAACTCCATTCATATTAAACAGCAGCCTACCTGTTGGTTGATCATTGTAGCCTACACCTTCTCATTTAGCAAAACTGAATTCAATCATTTTAATTCCATTTTTAGCGTTGATTAGAAATCTCCCACTTCTCTTGCTCCACTCTGACCACAGATGTGAAAAGGTGTGTTGGCTACCTTTATGGGCAGCGCTCATAAAAACTGTCATAACACTTCAAATGGTCTGTCCTTGTAGGCTATGAGGCAATGTCCCACATAATTGGATTTCATTTTTAGCCTTTTCATTGAAATAGGCCTATATTTTTTTTATTCCTTCTCAAAAATGACCGCTCTCAAGTAATCTAATACTAAACGTCCCGTTATGATATGAAAATAACCGTGCCCATCCCTAAAACACACAAGAAACCATCTGAACAGGAGCTCATATTTTCTACGTGACAGAACGGTTTATTGACCAACAGTATAACCTGAAGTAACGCTAACTTATTCAGGTACAGTAAAATGACAACTGTAAAAAAAAAAAACAGATCTAAAAAGGTAGAGTAACAACAAACAATCTACTTCACGGTGTCAAACCAAAGTGTGTTTCCGTTTAAAACCGTTCCCACAACAGTACGTGTCTCTGTGTGTCAGTATGTAATAGCAATTGGCAGTGTCACCTTGCCGCAGCTGAAAAGAGCACTAAGAAAAGATAAACACCACATACAGTATATCAGAGGTTGTAACATAATGCTGTCTGGGCCTGGGTTGTAACATAATACTGTCTGGGCCTGGGTTGAAACATAATGCTGTCTGGGCCTGGGTTGAAACATAATGCTGTCTGGGCCTGGGTTGAAACATAATGCTGTCTGGGCCTGGGTTGAAACATAATGCTGTCTGGGCCTGGGTTGAAACATAATGCTGTCTGGGCCTGGGTTGAAACATAATGCTGTCTGGGCCTGGGTTGAAACATAATGCTGTCTGGGCCTGGGTTGAAACATAATGCTGTCTGGGCCTGGGTTGAAACATAATGCTGTCTGGGCCTGGGTTGAAACATAATGCTGTCTGGGCCTGGGTTGAAAACATAATGCTGTCTGGGCCTGGGTTGAAACATAATGCTGTCTGGGCCTGGGTTGAAACATAATTGCTGGTCTGGGCCTGGGGTTGAAACATAATGCTGTCTGGGCCTGGGTTGAAACATAATGCTGTCTGGGCCTGGGGTTGAAACATAATGCTGTCTGGGCCTGGGTTGAAACATAATGCTGTCTGGGCCTGGGTTGAAACATAATGCTGTCTGGGCCTTGGGTTGAAACATAATGCTGGGGGGGGCTGGTCCTGGGGGTTGAAACATAATGCTGTCCTGGGGCCTGGGTTGAAACATAATGCTGTCTGGGTCCTGGGTTGAAACATATGGCTGTCTGGGTCCTGGGTTTGAAACATAATGGCGGTCTGGGCCTGGGGTTGAAACATAATGCTGTCTGGGCCTTGGTTTGAAACATAATGCGTCTGTGGCCTGGGTTGAAACATAATGCTGGTCTGGGCCTGGGTTGAAACATAATGCTGTCTGGGCCTGGGGTTGAAACATATGCTGTCTGGGCCTGGGTTTGAAACATAATGCTGTCTGGTCCTGGGTTGAAACATAATGCTGGGTCTGGTGAAACATAATGCTGTCTGGGCTGGTGAAACATAATGCTGTCTGGTCCTGGGTTTGAAAACATAATGCTGTCTGGTCCTGGGTTGAAACATAATGCTGTCTGGGCCTGGGTTGAAACATAATGCTGTCTGGGCCTGGGTTGAAACATAATGCTGCCTGGCCCTGGGGTTTACAACCAGGAGCAGTGATGGCTATTGGACGGAGAGACCTGAAGCGTATACTATTGGCCCCCCCTGGCTAAAGCAGAAGCTAACGTGGCTATTAGGCTTTGTATGGCAGGGAAAGAGTTCAAGCAAAGTCAAATCCAGGTCATGTAGAATCCAGTCTAGACATCATCACCGTTAAACTATACAACATGAAGTACAGTATTTAAGAGAACGTACAAGGTATAAAAAAAACAATCAGAAAAGTAAAAACATTTGTATACAGGAACTATTCTAGGTTTTTATAGCACCAGGAAGGAGAGTAACAGTCAGTGGATCCTATCAGTGGGATTCTTTCTAAAGGAGGATACGGAGTCCACTTGGCAGGTCTACCTGTCCTTAGGACACCAGAGTCCACTTGGCAGGTCTACCTGTCCTTAGGACACCAGAGTCCACTTGGCAGGTCTACCTGTCCTTAGGACACCAGAGTCTACTTGGCAGGTCTACCTGTCCTTAGGACACCAGAGTCCACTTGGCAGGTCTACCTGTCCTTAGGACACCAGAGTCCACTTGGCAGGTCTACCTGTCCTGAGGACACCAGAGTCCACTTGGCAGGTCTACCTGTCCTTAGGACACCAGAGTCCACTTGGCAGGTCTACCTGTCCTTAGGACACCAGAGTCCACTTGGCAGGTCTACCTGTCCTTAGGACACCAGAGTCCACTTGGCAGGTCTACCTGTCCTTAGGACACCAGAGTCCACTTGGCAGGTCTACCTGTCCTCAGGACACCAGAGTCCACTTGGCAGGTCTACCTGTCCTTAGGACACCAGAGTCCACTTGGCAGGTCTACCTGTCCTTAGGACACCAGAGTCCACTTGGCAGGTCTACCTGTCCTTAGGACACCAGAGTCCACTTGGCAGGTCTACCTGTCCTTAGGACACCAGAGTCCACTTGGCAGGTCTACCTGTCCTGAGGACACCAGAGTCCACTTGGCAGGTCTACCTGTCCTTAGGACACCAGAGTCCACTTGGCAGGTCTACCTGTCCTTAGGACACCAGAGTCCACTTGGCAGGTCTACCTGTCCTTAGGACACCAGAGTCCACTTGGCAGGTCTACCTGTCCTTAGGACACCAGAGTCCACTTGGCAGGTCTACCTGTCCTTAGGACACCAGAGTCCACTTGGCAGGTCTACCTGTCCTTAGGACACCAGAGTCCACTTGGCAGGTCTACCTGTCCTTAGGACACCAGAGTCCACTCGTCCTTTTCCGTTGCAAAAAAACCCAGTCTGTGCTACATTTTTGAAACGGGTGTGCACCAATGAATATGGGGTGAGGAGGTTGTCCAAATATTCTGAGTGGACAAGGGGAGGGTTTAGAAACATAATCCCAGTTGGACAGCTGGTACGTTCCATTTCCACCCCTCTGATTCTGAGTTGGTATGTTCCATTTCCACCCCTCTGATTCTGAGTTGGTATGTTCCATGTCCACCCCTCTGATTCTGAGTTGGTATGTTCCATGTCCACCCCTCTGATTCTGAGTTGGTATGTTCCATGTCCACCCCTCTGATTCTGAGTTGGTATGTTCTACCAGGCTCCGGGGTGAAGTCCCCCCCCCCCCCCTCCCTCCCACAATCCTAACCTTCGACCCATTAGTGGCGAAAATTGTAAAAACTGCACCAAGATCAGTGTCTAGGGGCAACTTCACCCTGCTCCGTTCTCCCAGTGGACCTCAGGGTGATCCTAGTGGAGTTTGCAGCTTCCATCCTCAGCACCTCCTCTGGCACCTCCTCTTCCTCCTTCTCTGTCACAACCTCCTTTTGAGTCTCCCCCTTCTCTCCTCCCCTCCTCTCCTCCAGTTGACTCATCCTCCTGCGGACCTCCTGCAGCACCTCTCCTCTCCTCCTCTGTTTCTCCCTCCATCTCTCCACCCTCTCTTCCTCCTCCCTCTCTTTCTCCTCCAGGAGCGAGCGGAGGAACTCTGGGCTGATGACTTCATCCTTGTCGTTAACCAATAGGAAGGCGTTCTTGAAGCGGTTGTAGAGCATCGACGCCTTGTCCATCACGTCCTGGTTACTGCGGAAACGGCGCATCTGGGAAACACATAGTTGTGGTTAGGTGTGTGTACGTGGTAAAGGAGTGAATAGTGTGTGTGGTTTTGGATGTACAGTGAGGGAAAAAAGTATTTGATCCCCTGCTGATTTTGTACGTTTGCCCACTGACAAAGACATGATCAGTCTATAATTTTAATGGTAGGTTTATTTGAACAGTGAGAGACAGAATAACAACAACAAAAATCCAGAAAAAGGCATGTCAAAAATGTTATAAATTGATTTGCATTTTAATGAGGGAAATAAGTATTTGACCCCTCTGCAAAACATGACTTAGTACTTGGTGGCAAAACCCTTGTTGGCAATCACAGAGGTCAGACGTTTCTTGTAGTTGGCCACCAGGTTTGCACACATCTCAGGAGGGATTTTGTTCCACTCCTCTTTGCAGATCTTCTCCAAGACATTAAGGTTTCGAGGCTGACGTTTGGCAACTCGAACCTTCAGCTCCCTCCACAGATTTTCTATGGGATTAAGGTCTGGAGACTGGCTAGGCCACTCCAGGACCTTCATGTGCTTCTTCTTGAGCCACTCCTTTGTTGCCTTGGCCGTGTGTTTTGGGTCATTGTCATGCTGGAATACCCATCCACGACCCATTTTCAATGCCCTGGCTGAAGGAAGGAGGTTCTCACCCAAGATTTGACGGTACATGGCCCCGTCCATCGTCCCTTTGATGCAGTGAAGTTGGCCTGTCCCCTTAGCAGAAAAACACCCCCAAAGCATAATGTTTCCACCTCCATGTTTGACGGTGGGGATGGTGTTCTTGGGGGTCATAGGCAGCATTCCTCCTCCTCCAAACACGGCGAGTTGAGTTGATGCCAAAGAGCTCGATTTTGGTCTCATCTGACCACAACACTTTCACCCAGTTCTCCTCTGAATCATTCAGATGTTCATTGGCAAACTTCAGACGGCCCTGTATATGTGCTTTCTTGAGCATGGGGACCTTGCGGGCACTGCAGGATTTCAGTCCTTCATGGCGTAGTGTGTTACCATTTGTTTTCTTGGTGACTATGGTCCCAACTGCCTTGAGATCATTGACAAGATCCTCCCGTGTAGTTCTGGACTGATTCCTCACCGTTCTCATGATCATTGCAACTCCACGAGGTGAGATCTTGCATGGAGCCCCAGGCCGAGGGAGATTGACAGTTCTTTTGTGTTTCTTCCATTTGCGAATAATCGCACCAACTGTTGTCACCTTCTCACCAAGCTGCTTGGCGATGGTCTTGTAGCCCATTCCAGCCTTGTGTAGGTCTACAATCTTGTCCCTGACATCCTTGGAGAGCTCTTTGGTCTTGGCCATGGTGGAGAGTTTGGAATCTGATTGATTGATTGCTTCTGTGGACAGGTGTCTTTTATACAGGTAACAAACTGAGATTAGGAGCACTCCCTTTAAGAGTGTGCTCCTAATCTCAGCTCATTACCTGTATAAAAGACACCTGGTAGCCAGAAATCTTTCTGATTGAGAGGGGGTCAAATACTTATTTCCCTCATTAAAATGCAAATCAATTTATAACATTTTTGACATGCGTTTTTCTGGATTTTGTTGTTGTTATTCTGTCTCTCACTGTTCAAATAAACCTACCATTAAAATTATAGACTGATCATTTCTTTGTCAGTGGGCAAACGTACAAAATCAGCAGGGGATCAAACACTTTTTTCCCTCACTGTATTATCACATTTCATACAAACGTTATGTACATGGTCCTCTGTAGCTCAGCTGGTAGAGCACGGCGCTTGTAACGCCAAGGTAGTGGGTTCGATCCCCGGGACCACCCATACACAAAAATGTATGCACGCACGACTGTAAGTCGCTTTGGATAAAAGCGTCTGCTAAATGGCATATTATTTATTTATATTATATTTATTACATAGAAGCTGCTATCATCACATTTCATACAAATGTTATGTACATAGAAGCTACTATCATCACATTTCATCCAAATGTTATGTACATAGAAGCTACTACAGTGAGGGATAAAAGGATTAGAAGCTGCTATCATCACTACAGGAAATAAGACTAAGAACAACACCAACCTGTATGTCAGGTGGTTATTGGATGTACAGTGCATTGGGAAAGTATTCAGACCCCTTGACTTTTTCCACATTTTGTTACGTTACAGCCTTATTCTAAAATGGAGACTCGGAATTGAGCTCAGGTACATCCTGTTTCCATTGATCATCCTTGAGATGTTTCTACAACTTGATTGGAGTCCACCTGTGGTAAATTCAATTGATTGGACATGATTTGGAAAGGCACACACCTGTCTATATAAGGTCCCACAGTTGACAGTGCATGTCAGAGCAAAAAACCAAGCCATGAGGTCGAAGGAATTGTCCCTAGAGCTCTGAGACAGGATTGTGTCGAGGCACAGATCTGGGGAAGGGTACCAAAACATTTCTGCATCATTGAAGGTCCCCAAGAACACAGTGGCCTCCATCATTCTTAAATGGAAGAAGTTTGGAACCACCAAGACTCTTCCTAGAGCTGGCCGCCCGGCCAAACTGAGCAATCGGAGGAGAAGGGCCTTGGTCAGGGAGGTGACCAAGAACCCGATGGTCACTCTGACAGAGCTCCGGAGTTCCTCTGTGGAGATGGGAGAACCTTCCAGAAGGACAACCATCTCTGCAGCACTCCACCAATCAGGCCTTTATGGTAGAGTGGCCAGACGGAAGCCACTCCTCAGTAAAAGGCACATGACAGCCCGCTTGGAGTTTGCCAAAGGCACCTAAAGATTCTCAGACCAAGATTGAACTCTTTGGCCTGAATGCCAAGCGTCACGTCTGGAGGAAACCTGGCACCATCCCTACGGTGAAGCATGGTGGTGGCAGCATCATGCTGTGGGGATGTTTTTCAACAGCAGGGACTGGGAGACTAGTCAGAATCTGCTCCAGAGCACTCAGGACCTCAGACTGGGGTGAAGGTTCACCTTCCAACAGGACAACGACCCTAAGCACACAGTCAAGACAACGCAGGAGTGGCTTCAGGACAAGTCTCTGAATGTCCTTGAGTGGCCCATTCAGAGCCCAGACTTGAACCCGATCGAACATCTCTGGAGAGACCTGAAAATAGCTGTGCAGCGACGCTCCCCATCCAACCTGACAGAGCTTGAGAGGATCTGCAGAGAAGAATGGGAGAAACTCCCCAAATACAGGTGTGCCAAGCTTGTAGCGTCATACCCAAGAAGACTCGATGCTGTAATCACTGCCAAAGGTGCTTCAATAAAGTTCTGAGTAAAGGGTCTGAATACTTATGTATATGTGATATTTTAGTTTTTAATTTTTAATAAATGTGCAAACATTTCTAAAAATATATGTTTTCTCTTTGTCACTATGGGGTATTGTTTGTAGATTGATGAGGGGAAAAAAACGATGTAATCCATTTTAGAATAAGGCTGTATCGTAACAATGTGGAAAAAGTGAAGGGGTCTGAATACTTTCCGAATGCACTGTATGTCAGGTGTGTGTGGTTATTGTATGTATGTGACAGCAGTCTTACCTTTCTGAGCGTAGTGATGAGTTCACTGTGTCTCTGGACATGCTGTGATGTTACATACACCATACTGAGTTGATCAAGGGCAATCAGACACTTACAAATGTCCTGAGAGAGAGAGAGACAGAGAGAGAGACAGAGACAGAGAGAGAGAGACAGAGAGAGAGGAGACAGAGACACAGAGACAGAGAGGAGAAGAGAGAGAGACAGAGAGAGAGAGACCGATAAGAGAGCAGAGAGAGAGAGAGAGAGAAGGACAGAGAGACAGAGAGAGAATACCAGAGAGAGAGAGATCGAGACAGAAGATAGAGACCAAAGAGAGAGAAGCGAGAGACAGAGAGAGAGAAGAGAGCGCATAAATACAAAGAGAGACAGAGAGACTACTAGAGAGACAGAGAGATAGACGAGAGAGAGCTAAGAGAGAAGAGCTCGTTACAAGCCATAGTGAGTTGGTCCGAGGCTGACTATGCCTTATGGATGGGGGGTAACCAGTTCCTGTTGCTCAAACAGTGGTTGGTTTTTCCGCTTCAGAGAGATGGCCGTTGATAATTCCTGTATCCTGTGTACTTGGGTTGTCGTCTTAGAGTGAGGCTATAGCGTCTGTAGTTTAGGGACACCCGTCCTCTTCTGGTCCAAGTCACTAGCCTCTAGAACCTCCTCTTCGTCGCCATGACACCTCGATAGAGACGAGAGACAACCACATACATGGTTCGTTATGATCACTGACAAACAGAAAGACAGGTACGGAGAGAGAGACCAGGTACCAGGTAGGATAGACAGTGCAGGTACAGGAGAAGAGACAGGCAGTATGTGACAGGCATGAAGGCAGCAGGTACAGGAGAGAGACAGCAGGTACAGGAGAGAGACAGACAGGCAACAGGAGAGAGACAGAAGGACACAGGGAGAGAGGCAGGTTACAGGAGAGAGAGACAGGGTACAGGAGAGAGAGAGACAGGTACAGGAGAGAGAGGGACAGTACAGGAGAAGGACAGGACACGTACAGGAGAGGGAGACAGGTAACAGGAGAGGACAGACCGGCACAGGAGAGAGACAGGCAGGCGGCAGGTGACGGAGAGAGAGACAGGTAAAGGAGAGAGAGACAGGTAAGGAGAGAGACAGACACAGGAAGCGAGACAGTACCAGGAGAGAGACAGACAAGGCTACAGGAGAGAGACAGCAGGCATGGTTACAGGAGAGAGACAGACAGCACGGGAGAGAGAGGCAGGTACAAGGAGAGAGAGACAGGTACAGGAGAGAGAGCAGGTACAGGAGGCAGACAGGAGAGAGACGACAGTACAGGAGAGAGAGACAGGTACAGGAGAGAGAGACAGGGCAACAGGAGAAAACAGGAGGCAGGTACAGGAGAGAGAGACAGGTACAGAGGAGAGAGGCAGGTACAGGAGAGAGAGACAGGTACAGGAGAGAGACAGACACAGGAGAGACAGGTACAGGAGAGAGACAGACAGGCAGGTACAGGAGAGAGAGACAGACACGTACAGGAGAGAGAGAGACAGGTACAGGAGAGAGAGACAGGTACAGGAGAGAGAGACAGGTACAGGAGAGAGACAGACAGGTACAGGAGAGAGACAGACAGGTACAGGAGAGAGGAGAGGCAGGTACAGGAGAGAGAGAGACAGGTACAGGAGCGAGACAGACAGGTACAGGAGAGAGACAGACAGGTACAGGAGAGAGACAGGCAGGTACAGGAGAGAGAGAGGCAGGTACAGGAGAGAGAGAGACAGGCAGGTACAGGAGAGAGAGAGAGACAGGCAGGTACAGGAGAGAGACAGGTACAGGAGAGAGGCAGGTAAAGGAGAGAGAGAGGCAGGTAAAGGAGAGAGAGACAGGTACAGGAGAGAGAGACAGGTACAGGAGAGAGAGACAGGTACAGGAGAGAGACAGACAGGTACAGGAGAGAGACAGGCAGGTACAGGAGAGAGACAGGTACAGGAGAGAGAGAGAGAGGCAGGTAAAGGAGAGAGAGACAGGTACAGGAGAGAGAGACAGGTACAGGAGAGAGAGACAGGCAGGTACAGGAGAGAGACAGGTACAGGAGAGAGAGAGGCAGGTAAAGGAGAGAGAGACAGGTACAGGAGAGAGAGACAGGTACAGGAGAGAGAGACAGGTACAGGAGAGAGAGACAGGCAGGTACAGGAGAGAGAGAGGTACAGGAGAGAGAGAGGCAGGTAAAGGAGAGAGAGACAGGTACAGGAGAGAGAGACAGGCAGGTACAGGAGAGAGACAGGTACAGGAGAGAGACAGGCAGGTAAAGGAGAGAGAGACAGGTACAGGAGAGAGAGAGGCAGGTAAAGGAGAGAGACAGACACAGGAGAGACAGACAGACACAGGAGAGACAGACAGACACGTACAGGAGAGAGACAGACACAGGAGAGACAGACAGACACGTACAGGAGAGAGACAGACAGGTACAGGAGAGAGACAGGTACAGGAGACACAGGCAGACAGAAAGACAGACAGGTTATTCGTTCATGTACTCACTGAGGTGATTTAGTCTCCTCCTCCTGTCGTGTCTCTACTGGAGGTGAACTATCAGTCTCCTCCTGTCGTGTCTCTACTGGAGGTGAACTATCAGTCTCCTCCTGTGGTGTCTCTACTGGAGGTGAACTATCAGTCTCCTCCTGTCGTGTCTCTACTGCAGGTGAACTATCAGTCTCCTCCTGTGGTGTCTCTACTGGAGGTGAACTATCAGTCTCCTCCTGTCGTGTCTCTACTGGAGGTGAACTATCAGTCTCCTCCTGTGGTGTCTCTACTGGAGGTGGACTATCAGGCTCCACTTTCTTGGCTTCTGATTTCTTAGCCCCCACTCTGGTTAAATCTGATTTCTTAGGCCCCACTCTGGTTAAATCTGATTTCTTAGCCCCCACTCTGGTTAATTCTGATTTCTTATCCCCCACTCTGGTTAAATCTGATTTCTTAGCCCCCACTCTGGTTAATTCTGATTTCTTAGCCCCCACTCTGGTTAATTCTGATTTCTTAGCCCCCACTCTGGTTAAATCTGATTTCTTAGCCCCCACTCTGGTTAATTCTGATTTCTTAGGCCCCACTCTGGTTAATTCTGATTTCTTAGGCCCCACTCTGGTTAATTCTGATTTCTTATCCCCCACTCTGGTTAATTCTGATTTCTTATCCCCCACTCTGGTTAATTCTGATTTCTTATCCCCCACTCTGGTTAAATCTGATTTCTTAGCCCCCACTCTGGTTAAATCTGATTTCTTAGCCCCCACTCTGGTTAAATCTGATTTCTTATCCCCCACTCTGGTTAAATCTGATTTCTTAGCCCCCACTCTGGTTAAATCTGATTTCGTAGCCCCCACTCTGGTTAAATCTGATTTCTTAGCCCCCACTCTGGTCAATTCTGATTTCTTAGCCCCCACTCTGGTCAATTCTGATTTCTTAGCCCCCACTCTGGTCAATTCTGATTTATTTTCTACTTTCTTCTCTTCTGGTTTCTTACGTTCAGTTTTTTTACCTTCCGATTTTTTCGTACTTTTCGTACTTTCCACCTTCTTATCCGTTTTCTTGCTCTCTGCTTTTCTGTCCCTTTTCTGACCCCCTGACTTCCCTCCCTCCACCCTCTTCCCTCCATCTCTCCTGAAAAAAAGACAAAAACAAAAGCGGATTATTTCAGAGTAGTGTGTATGTGCTCTCAATAGTGTGTGAGGTGTGTACTCACAGAGCGATGTTGTGGCAGTGTGTGAGGTGTGTACTCACAGAGCGATGTTGTGGCAGTGTGTGTGAGGTGTGTACTCACGGAGCGATGTTGTGGCAGTGTGTGTGAGGTGTGTACTCACAGAGTGATGTTGTGGCAGTGTGTGTGAGGTGTGTACTCACAGAGCGATGTTGTGGCAGTGTGTGTGAGGTGTGTACTCACGGAGCGATGTTGTGGCAGTGTGTGTGAGGTGTGTACTCACGGAGCGATGTTGTGGCAGTGTGTGTGAGGTGTGTACTCACAGAGCGATGTTGTGGCAGTGTGTGTGTGTGTGTGAGGTGTGTACTCACAGAGCGATGTTGTGGCAGTGTGTGTGAGGTGTGTACTCACGGAGCGATGTTGTGGCAGTGTGTGTGAGGTGTGTACTCACAGAGCGATGTTGTGGCAGTGTGTGTGTGTGTGTGTGAGGTGTGTACTCACAGAGCGATGTTGTGGCAGTGTGTGTGAGGTGTGTACTCACGGAGCGATGTTGTGGCAGTGTGTGTGTGTGAGGTGTGTACTCACGGAGCGATGTTGTGGCAGTGTGTGTGAGGTGTGTACTCACAGAGCGATGTTGTGGCAGTGTGTGTGTGTGTGTGAGGTGTGTACTCACAGAGCGATGTTGTGGCAGTGTGTGTGAGGTGTGTACTCACGGAGCGATGTTGTGGCAGTGTGTGTGAGGTGTGTACTCACAGAGCGATGTTGTGGCAGTGTGTGTGAGGTGTGTACTCACGGTGTGAGGCTCTGTCTCCTCAGACCCTTTCCTGCAGTGAGGAGGCCTTGTAGAGACTTCAGGACACTCGCTCTCCTGGCCGCGAGACGACGTCGACGCTGCGCGCACACACACACACAACACGGACAGGATGAGACTTCACTAACAGGATATTACATCACCACTAGTATTGGACAGTAGGCGTGGTCTGCATTTCAAATGGCACCCTCTGGTCAAAAGTAGACATAGAATCACTGGTCACTTTAATAATGTTTACATACCGCTTTACTCATCTCATATGTATATACTGTATTCTATTCTACTGTATTTTAGATTTGAAAGTAGGGATATATAGGGAACTAGTGTTGCACGGTATACACAAACTTCTGTACTTCGATACCAGAGAATGAAAAACGGTTCGGTACTTCTGTCAAATGGGTCTCGCAGATCAAGCCTGCTAGCCTGCACTGGGAGTCTGGTCTGCATCGTGTTGGCTCCCCACCCTGCCTGCTAGCCTGCACTGGGAGTCTGGTCTGCATCGTGTTGGCTCCCCACCCTGCCTGCTAGCCTGCACTGGGAGTCTGGTTAATCATCTTCTTGATATGCCACACCTGTCAGGTGGATGTATTATCTTGGCAAAGGAGAAATGCTCACTAACAGGGATGTAAACAAATTTGTGCACAATATTTGAGAGAAAGCTTTTTGTGCGTATGGACATTTTTGGGATCTTTTATTTCGAACCCTTTACATGTTGAGTTCATATTTTGGTTCAGTGTATAATTGATTGATTATATTATTGATTAATTAATGTATACATGGCTGTTTCTGAAAAATGTAGATGTAAAAAATATCTAGCGTCATGATCTTGAACTCAAGACGCCCAACGATTGAAGAGAGCCGTAGCTGAGTTTATCTGTCTGGATCAAGGGCCATTCTGGGACTTTGGTTAATACGCCTTCTTCTTTTTGCCGTGGTATCGTTTCCCGGTCTAATGTCGTGACTGTATCGAGTATTGGGAAACTAAACCTGGTGTTGCTGTCAATATTCTAGTATGGTGACACCACTACAGGGATGTCATTTCAGATTTAGACCTGTAAGTTTGGACTCACCTCCTCATCCGGACCAGGACTGTTCTCTGTGACAGTATTGGTCACCTCCTCATCCTGACCAGGACTGTTCTCTGTGACAGTATTGGTCACCTCCTCATCCTGACCAGGACTGTTCTCTGTGACAGTATTGGTCACCTCCTCATCCGGACCAGGACTGCTCTCTGTGACAGTATTGGTCACCTTCACATCATTATCCTCTTCTCTCTTCATCGGCTCAGGTGGACACTCCTTTTTCTTGGTGCTCTCTACTTTCCTTCCCTTCACTGGTACCCCCTCCTCCTCCTCCTCCTCGTTCCCCTCTTTCCTTCCCTTCACTGGTACCCCTCCTCCTCCTCCTTGTTCCCCTCTTTCCTTCCCTTCACTGGTACCCCCTCCTCCTCCTCCTCGTTCCCCTCTTTCTTTCCCTTCACTGGTACCCCCTCCTCCTCCTTGTTCCCCTCTTTCCTTCCCTTCACTGGTACCCCCTCCCCTTCCTCCTCCTCCTCGTTCCCCTCTTTCCTTCCCTTCACTGGTACCCCCTCCTCCTCCTCGTTCCCCTCTTTCCTTCCCTTCACTGGTACCCTCCTCCTCCTCCTCCTCGTTCCCCTCTTTCCTTCCCTTCACTGGTACCTCCTCCTCCTCCTCCTCGTTCCCCTCTTTCTTAACCTCTTCCTTGTGGATTACTTCTTTGTCTCTTTCTAAACTTTCCAGCTCACTCGTCTTACTGACTTCGGTCTTTCCTTCTTCAACACCAACTTCCTTGGTCTTCCTGCTCTCCTCTTTCTCTCCTTCATCCTCCCTTCTCCTCTTCATCCCTCTACTCTGCTCCTCTCTCTCGCCCTTTGGAGTGGAGGAGCTTTTCTCCTCAGCCGATCTTGTCTTCTTGCTGGCTGTGGAGACCAGAACAGGGGGCGGACATTTTTAGAATCACTGTCCCATGTCACCACATTGATATGATTGATACAAAATGGCTGAGAGCTAGCGGTGATGTTCTTTACCGGGTGGGCTTACAGCTGGACTGGCTGGGGCCGTCTTCTGCCGCTGGACAGGCTCATACTGGGGAGAGCGCATTCCAATCAATGACTCAATCTAATGACATTTATTAGCATAGCAGAGGTTATTGGTCTTTAAATTGATTTATAAAGCCCTTCATACATCAGCAGTTAAAAATCCTTCATACTTCTATATTTCAGACATAAATGTACTTTCCCTCCACACCTTTTTCCTTTTCTCAGCTCTTGTGTTGGTCGGTGTGTCAGCTTCCTGTTGGCCGTCGGCAGATGGTTTTTTGTTTCCCGGGGCCGCCCTGTTTCCCGGGGCCGTCACTGCCACTGTCTTGTTAGTCTTCGCTTGTGTTTTCGGGGCCTGTTTCGGGGCGGTGGCCATCTGTAAGTTGAAGTCAAAAACAGACAAATTATTTTCTACTGTTATATAGCTACTGTCTGTATCAGAGCTGGACAGTTGACTGACTCGGACTGGTGCAGATGTCTTGGTCTGGTCTGGCTTGTTCTCTGCTTGCTCCTTTTTGACTGGGGTAGCACCCACCTGTTTCAGACAGAGAAACAGGGACTGAGCTGAGAACAAGAGGGATTACAACTCACTACATGGAGGTGTGTCTGTCAGAGAGTGTGTCTGTGTGAGGGAGAGAGTGTGAGAGTGTATGTGAGAGAGGGAGAGAGAGAGAGTTTGTGCCTGTGTGAAAGAGAGAAAGAGAAAGAGGGAGAAAGAGAGAGTGAGAGAGAGTGTGTGAAAGAGAGAGAGAGAGAGAGAGTGTGTGTGTCCTCCTTACCTTGGGTTTGCTGCCTACTCTGGGAGAGTTCTCTATCTCCCACATGCCCTCTGTGAAGCCTCTGATGCGCACTCCTTTTCCATATCTGCCCTTGTTCCCGACGTAGGGCACTATATTTTCAGGGGGTATGAACGCTCTGGGGACGACAGAAGACTTAGTCCACAAACAAGAACAGATTGACAAAAAACCAAGCATCATCAAATTCACATTTTGGTCATTTATCAGACGCTCTCATCTAGAGTGACTTACAGTCAGTGAAGACTAATGACGCCTTACCAATTGGAGACTACTAGCGTCTAAGTAGCAACTATAAAACGTCTTCCCGTTCTGTAAACCGTATCAGTATATTCACCCTCTTCTACTTACGTCTGGTGGGTTCCAAAGAAGAACACCGGAACCTTCTTCTTAGAGCCCTCGCCCTTAGCGATCTGCAACAGTAACAGACACTATTGGCTATCTGTAGGATTAACACCGATACTATTGGCTGGCTATCTGTAGGATTAACACCGATACTATTGGCTATCTGTAGGATTAACACCGATACTATTGGCTGGCTATCTGTAGGATTAACACCGATACTATTGGCTGGCTATCTGTAGGATTAACACCGATACTATTGGCTATCTGTAGGATTAACACCGATACTACTGTTTGCTTGTCTCGACCGTCGCCTCTCCCGAAACCGTTGGGGAGTTGCAGTGATGAAACAAAATCGTAACTGGCAATTGGATATCACGAAATTGGGGGAGAAACATTGGGGTAAAAACATAAAAGGTTGTCAACGACATTGGGACACTACATAGTGCATCACCAGACAGTCAGAGTGTCAGACTCACCCTGGCCGGCCAGTGGGGGAAGCCCCTCATCTTGGCGAAGACCAAGTCCCCAGGCTGGAACCTGTCTGCTGCCTTGCCTGGCATCCTGCTTCAACACCAACTCCTTCTCATACTGGGGAGAGGAGAGGAGGGACATTATGTTCCCGTAGAGAGATCAGCTTACAAGACAGACACATTGCTAAATACCAGTAGAGGAGAGGTGGTTGGAGGAGAGAGTTGGTTTGCAAAACAAGGCATAATTTTTAAAAAAGGGGCAATCTTCAGTTGCTACATCAATTTTTACATTAATTAATGATATAAATCCATTGATTCTTGAAGAATATAACTTTCTCATGAGCTTAGTTCAACTGTGGAACCCTATCAGAACCCAGGCTAGCCAAGTCAGCCTTCAACAGGAAGTGAAATGGTAAATAGAGAGACCATGTAAAGATGTTAACAGAGTAGCCAGGTCAAACCTATTTTCACCATTTCATATCATCGAAATCAAATCACAGGACGTTTTTTTTGGGGGCTCATTCAGTAGTTTTTACCTGATAAAGTAGAATCCTGTTAAAAAGGACCAATTTATATTCCTAAAACATACATTGAAAATTGATACTGTTGCTGCTTCCTGTTGTCATGGCTTTGTGATTTATGTCAGAGTGTCATAACACCAGTTTTAAATGTCCAAATTCATAATCAATGTTGTGATATTTTTTTTTATAGACCAATACATAAAAGTTACTCCCTACACACACACACACACACGTCACACTTGTGTTCTAGGGCTATATATATATAAAGTAGATATATATATATATATATAAATAAATAAAGAAAGAAAGAAAGAAATGGGCTGTATATAAAAAATATTCCCGACAGAAAATATAGATCTTTGTCGACCGAGAGTCATTTGTTCTTCCAACCAATCGGGTGAAAAAAAAATTTTTTTTCCGTGTATTTTTCCAGATATAGACTATACTGCATGTAGGCTTCATCATTTATATGTTTTAATATAATCCACTATATGTAGGCTACTGAGCTCGTCTGATGCTTTAAGCGTTGTGATTAAAAAGACAAATGACTGAAGAGTGAGCCAGAGATCAATATAGCCTAACCAGAAGGGGGGGGGGGGCTGTTCCCGACCCTCCTCCTCCCACTGCCCGCTGCTCGTCTTCACAGATTCTGCCATTTTGCTCCTGAAACAGCCGGTAATAGGCTACACCAGGGGTCGGCAACCTTTTCCATTTGGAGTGCCAAGTTACCGTACCATTTCTACCGATCTGCGTGCCAGTTATGATTTTCATATGCACATTTTCGTGGAACATTTAATTTTATTATTATAATCTTCATGTCTCAAAATCAATGTCATGTGGTTAATAAAAATTATATCTAAATGAAAACGATACAAATCTAAAAGTAACTTCTATTGCCATTGCCAATATGTAAAAATAGCTTACATAAACCAACAAATAAAAACATTGCAGCCCGCAGGTAGAAAATATCCTGATAAAAACAAATATCCTATAAATCACATTGGCTACGCATGGCCTGTCTGCAACGAACTTGCAACGTTGTATCAACTATCAACTGGGTCCAGCCCAACGAACTTGAAACATTGTATCAACTATAGTATCAGTGGGCCCCCGAGTGGCGCAGCGGCAGGTAGCTTAGTAGTTAATAGAGCGTTGTGTGCCAGTTAACCGAAAGGTCCGCTGGTTCTAATCCCCGAGCCGACTAGGATGAAAATCTGTACGATTTGGCCCTTGGTCAAAGGCACTTACCCCTAATTGCTCCTGTAAGTCGCTCTGGATGAGGAACTATTGTCATTCTAAATGGATGTAAAAACAGACTTAGTTGACTTGCTTTTTGAGGCGAGGAAAATATTACTTTGAGAAGCTCCACAGTGATGGTGAGTTAAGACAATCATAAATAGTATCAGATCCCCAAATGGGCACATTTATAAGCCTACATTTGGCAGGCCAGGTAGCCATTGCCCGTCTCTGTGGACGAATCCATTGCCCGTCTCTGTGGACGAATCCATTGCCCGTCTCTGTGGACGAATCCATTGCCCGTCTCTGTGGACGAATCCATTGCCCGTCTCAGTGGACTAATCCATTGCCCGTCTCTGTGGACGAATCCATTGCCCGTCTCTGTGGACTAATCCATTGTGGAGGCACACTAGTATCATCAGTAGTATGCCGTTAATTCCCATAATTTTGAATCTACAATGTTTGGTTACAATAATTTCTGTTAATGCATTCAGTTTATTATTATTGTTATTATTATTATTGTTATTATTATTATTACAGTCTTACTGTTGTCATTGTAGGAGTGGACACATTGTTTGCGGAGTGCACCATCTAGGCTACACTTGTGAGGAAAAGTTTGGTTTATTTCATTCCATTTACGAGTTTTGTTTGGAGCGCTCCTGTCAATCTTGAGTAAGGACACGCACCTGCTTACTCATATAACTAGGCCATTTCTGGGATCTTTTATGTCAGCTCATGAAACACGGGACCAACGTTTATATTTTTGTTCAGTACATGTCCTAACTCAACATCAAATAGACTTCTAAAAAAATAACAGTCACTTCGGTAGAACGTTTATTTTGATTGGCGATTTTCTGCAATGATCAAAAGTCCCATCAAGTGGCCTGATTTTTAGATGTGTCCAACTGTCCATTTAAACAGGATTACTAGGTAAATCGTTATTGCAAAGCATGTGAACGAATTATTATATTAATCTGACTAACCGTACTCATTGACAGTCAAGAGGCCCCCCGCTCTTCCCACGGGGGGCCAGTATAAAAAAATATGTATTCACTAACTGTAAGTCGCTCTGGATAAGAGCGTCTGCTAAATGACTAAAATGTAAATGTAAATGTAAGAGTATGGGAGGTTTGGGAGCCATTGTCAGAAAGTGAGAAGGCGATCCACCAGCCGCCCTTCTTTCACTCCCCAGCTAGCGAGAAGAACTGGAAGTAGTGCAATAATAACATTTAATGGTCAATCAATTTCATGTTTAAGTGGCAGCCTTCATATTACACCCTCGTAGACTGTCAAGTTTATTAGTTAGGAGCTCACAATGTGCTTGATTCTTTCGCGTATTTTTTTTTTGCTTAGATAGCTAGCTAACGTTAAATGTTTACAAAGAGGCTAGCTGAAGCTAGCGAGTCGAGTCGAGGTCTCGTTGAAAACGGAACACCGTTGCATCTTTTCTCAGTTATTAAATTGCTAACGTTGCCACAATAATACACTGCAGCTAGGTTGTCTAGTAAAAAAAAAAAATGCATGGGTATTGTTAAAATTCTTACCAGAAAAACAACTGGACACGAACTGTAAAGGAGAGCTTGTATCTCGCAGCTGGACTCGAACCTGTGTGAAGCTAGACACCATAACGAATTAGCCGCAATAGTGACATTAGCGGGCCGCCTTCAAAATAAAAGTATCCAATTGAAAGCGATTCAAACGGATACAAATAGTGTAATCATGACACATTTTCACTAGATAATGTTAAACAAAGTTTGGAATGTTGTTATATACATTTTTTTTTAAACGACAATAATTAGTTAATTTGACACAAAACAGTACAAATCTGTAGATGTATGTATTAAGACTTTAAAATTGCACTGGGGTCATACTTCAATCATCCTTATGTGGCTAGCTTCACACAGGTCTCCCGCCCTCGGCTGAACTGGGTCAGCGCTAGACGGGATCCAGCTTTTGTCAAATTAAACGTCAAAAGTTGTTGTTTATTGCATTTCACCTAACCCTAACCCTTTTCCCAAACGTAACCTAATTATCCTAACCTGCTAAGTTAATTATCCTAACCGGCTGCGTACATTTTCCTAACCTACTACGAAATGTCAAAGCTCACGTTAATTTGACATGGGGATTCCTTCTAGCCGTTATGGCTGCCGTACCACGAGGGCAAGGCGGGGGGACATGCCTCGCAGTATGAAAAGGTTGTGTCCGTTTTTTAAAGGCCAGGACATAACGTTAAATATAAAACTAATGCATACCAGTTGAACGTTTTAGCCTAGAGCTGGAGATTAAACGAAACTTTACTCACAGAGTTTCTAAATCTGTACTGTCTTTGCTTTACTCGTCCATGTCTCGATTCCCCCTTCATAATTATTATTTTTTAATTCAATTTTAAATTACAGCACAATAACAAATAAACATAGGACATCACTACACATAGATTTTCTTCTTATGAAACAAATAAAGCAAATAAACAGATAATAAATAAATAAAAATACAACTTCATAAACATTTTGTTGTTTACACCCCCCCCCCCCCTTAAGCGCGTCAGAGGCCTGTTCGGCCAATCGAAGGGCTAGAATGGAGAGGGAAGTGACGTACGAACACAAACGGCAAAGATGGCGTCACATTCAAACGGATATTGAGACAAACATCAGTAAGTTCCTATTTAAACGTACTAAACTGTCGTAACTTGATCGCTACCGAGTTGTATAAAGTATAAAACATTATTGTTATTTCAGAAGTTCTTACATTTGTTGTCCAAAATGTACTTATTTGACCGCTTCGACAGCGAACCTCTTGTTTTGGGCAAAGCGGTCGTGCTGGCAAGGCAACGTTAGCTAAGCAACCTACCTCAGCTATCTCAAGGGTCTCTGGCTAGCAAACAAACCATCTGCTGGTTTACTGTCAAGCTAGAGAAGAAGCTATCCAATATTAGCTAGCTAGATATTCTTATACCAGTGTGACCTATCTAGTTAACTGGTAGTAACTGGCTATCTTAGCTCATCGCCTTTAGGGTTAGGGTTAAGGTAAATAAAACATGAAAGGTAAACAAAACATGATTGTGTTTCCAAGGTTACAAACAGGCTTTTAGCTAACCAAATATTTGCATTATTGGTTGTGTAATACACTCGCAGGGGACAACAGACAGACTAGAATCAAAAAGGTCTGGACAGAGTATCCTCTCTGACCTGGCATTATGCCAACGGAAGGACCAGCGGCAGTCACCTCGGAGCGTCCTCGGCATCATGACCGGCCCAGACGGAAGGACAGTGTGCAGTCCAAGCCATCCCTGCGAGCCTCTCACCCCCGACCAGCGGCTACTGCAGCCAAGAGCTGCGAGGATGAGATCAATAGGTATATAGGAACGTCTTTTAAAATGGTCTAAGAAGCCAAAATATGTTTAAATGTAGATATAATAGTTATTAATAGATAATCAATAGATGTTTAAAGACACAGATAAACAGTAGTTGTGTAAAAAGCCAACACATTGTACAGTTGTCTAAATCAATATATATTTAAATTGTTGTATAGTTATGGATGCATGCCAATAACCTAGATGTTTACACACAATTCTAACTTTGTATAACTAATTTCTTTGTGTTTCAGACTGAAGGAGATAATCTGTGCTCTGCAGGCTGAGCGTCAGCAACAGCGCTCCAGGGAAGAGGAGGGGGACGGGCTGGGGGGTGTTAGACTGGGACCGCGGGGCCCCGAGGAGCTACGATGGAGGATCAACCAGCTGGAGAGAGACAAGCTGGAAATAACCGCCAAACACAATGAACAGGTACTGTAGACCTACCCTCACTTTTGTAACTCAAAACACAATACTACTGTATAATAACTACACTTTTATAACACAATACAATATCAATACTACTGTATAATAACTACACTTTTATAACACAATACAATATCAATACTACTGTATAATAACTACACTTTTATAACACAATACAAGATCATTACTACTGTATAATAACTACAATTTTATAACACAACACAATACAATACTACTGTATACTAATTACACTTTTATAACACAATACAATATCATCACTACTGTATAATAACACAATACAATATCAATACTACTGTATTATAACACAATACAATATCAATACTACTGTATAATAACTACACTTTTATAACACAATGCAATACTACTGTATAATAACTACGCTTTTACAACACAATACAATATCAATACTACTGTATAGTAACACAATACAATATCAATACTACTGTATAAACTTTTTTCATTTTTTTCATTTAGCAGACGCTCTTATCCAGAGCGACTTACGGTTAGTGAGTGCATACATTTTTCATACTGTTCATACTTTTTCAAACTTCACTATCATAACACAATACAATATCAATACTACTGTATAATAACACAATACAATATCAATACTACTGTATAATGACTACACTATCATAACACAATTCCACTGCTATGTACAGTACCAGTCAAAAGTTTGGACACACCTACTCATTCAAGGGTTTTTCTTAATTTTTACTGTTTTCTACATTGTAGAATAATAGTGAAGACATCAAAACTATGAAATAACACACATGGAATCATGTAGTAACCCAAAAAAGGTCTTAAACAAATCAAAATATATTATATATTTGAGATTCTTCAAAGTAGCCACTGTGACGAGGACTGAGGATACGAAGAGGCAAGACACAGACGCAGGCATCAACAATGTAAAGGTTTTACTAAACACTGAGCAAGAGAACGACAAAGAGCGAGTACACGACAAGACACTAACAATCACACAACACAACACTGAAGAGTCCAGGGCTATATAGGGGTGGTGATGAGATGATGAGGTGCAGGTGTGCTGGAGGTGATTAGGGTGCGTTGGGTTTCCATTCCGGTGTTGCCGAGGTGGTGCGCTCAGACCGGTGGCTCAGTAGACCGTCAAATCAGAGCGCCGGAGGGGAGCAACGGGAGGAGACGTGACAGCCACCTTTGCTTTGCACACTCTTGGCATTCTCTCAACCAGTTTCATGAGGTAGTCACCTGGAATGTATTTCAATTAACAGGTGTGCCTTGTTAAAAGTTAATTTGTGGAATTTCTTTCCATCTTAATGCGTTTGAGCCAATCAGTTGTGTTGTGACAAGGTAGGCGGGCTATACAGAAGATAGCCGTATTTGGTAAAAGACCAAGTCCATATTATGGCAAGAACAGCTCAAATAAGCATTACTTTAAGACATGAAGGTCAGTCAATATGGAACATTTCAAGAACTTTGTAAGTTTCTTCAAGTGCAATCGCAAAAATAATCAAGCGCTATGATGAAACTGGCTCTCATGAGGACCGCCACAGGAAAGGAAGACCCAGAGTTACCTCTGCTGCAGAGGATAAGTTCATTAGAGTTAACTGCACCTCAGATTGCAGCCCAAATAAATGCTTCACAGAGTTCAAGTAACAGACACATCCCAACACAACTGTTCAGAGGAGACTGAGTGAATCAGGCCTTCATGGTCGAATTGCTGCAAAGAAACCACTACTAAAGGACACCAATAAGAAGAAGAGACTTGCTTGAGCCAAGAAACATGAGCAATGGACATTAGACCGGTGGAAATATGTCCTTTGGTCTGATGAGTCCAAATTAGAATTTTTGGTTCCAACCGCCGTGTCTTTGTGAGACGCGGTGTGGGTGAACGGATGATCTCTGCATGTGTAGTTTCCACCGTAAAGCATGGAGGAGGAGGTGTTATGGTGTGGGGGAGCTTTGCTGGTGACACTGACTGTGATTTATTTAGAATTCAAGGCACACTTAACCAGCATGGCTACCACAGCATTCTGCAGCGATACGCCATCCCATCTGGTTTGCGCTTAGTGGGACTATCATTCGTTTTTCAACTGGACAATGACCCAACACACCTCCAGGCTGTGTAAGGGCTATTTTACCAAGAAGGAGAGTGATGGAGTGCTGCATCAGATGACCTGGCCTCCACAATCCCCCGACCTCAACCCATTTGAGATGGTTTGGGATGAGTCGGACTGCAGAGTGAAGGAAAAGCAGCCAACAAGTGCTCAGCATATGAGGGAACTCCTTCAAGACTGTTGGAAAAGCATTCCTCATGAAGCTGGTTGAGAGAATGCCAACACTGTGCAAAACTGTCATCAAAGCAAAGGGTGGCTATTTGAAGAATCTCAAATATAAAATATATTTGGATTTGTTTAACACTTATTTTGGTTACTACATGATTCCATATGTGTTATATCATAGTTTTGATGTCTTCACTATTATTCTACAATGTAGAAAATAGTAAAAGTAAAGGAAAAACCCTTGAATTAGTAGGTGTGTCCAATTCAATCACAACAAACAAGGGCAGTAGTGAGTACAGCGAGGTAAGCTAAGCTAGCTTTGCTACGGAGAGAACAGAGTTTTGAAGTTGAGGACTTCTCCCCTCCTTACTGACTCGCCCATCTCTAGATGGTCAGCTCATTCAGTTATATGTGTAGGCTAAAGCCTGCGCTGACCTTGTGTTTAGCCAAGCTGACAGCAGCTAGCTAGCACAGCTTGGTGATGGCTGCAGCTGGCTATCCCATCTAGCTGAGTTTCAACCTTTCATCACGTCATGTAAATATATGTTACCGTGGAAACGATATCAACTACGGCGAGTTGAATGGCCGGTCTGTCCTACAACATGATATTCTATAACTAGCTAGCTTTTGTCTCTCCTTAAAGGTTTTCCTACTAATTATTTGCCTTCTTTTGAAATGTTATCGTGTTTCAATCTCAAACGGCTCCTTTGAACACGATGAAACAACGGAGCCCCTGTCACGATCGTCTAAAGGAGGAGACCAATGCGCAGCGTTGCGAGTGAACATGATGACTTTAATAAGAAAAGCACGTCAATACAAAACAAAAGAACGAAAGTGAAGTCCACAGTACAACGACTGAAACACGGAACAAAAACCCACAACCCACATACGAACACAGACAGTTTAAATATGGCTCCCAATCAGAGATAACGAGCCGACAGCTGACACTCGTTACCTCCGATTGGGAGTCACACACTACAACAATCAAGAACCTAGAAATAGACACACAGAACTCCCAACCTAGAAATAAACGTGACAGACATGCAAACATACAAAATCACCCAAAACCCAACAAAACAACATACACCCTGGCTCAAATACACAAGTCCTGGAGGCAGAGTGTGACAGTACCCCCCCCTAAAGGTGCGAACTCCGGGCGCACCAGCATACAGTCTAGGGGAGGGTCTGGGTGGGCGTCTGTCCACGGTGGCGGTTCTGCCCCTGGTCGTGGTCCCCATCCCACCTTAGTCACCACCCGCTTCCCTAGCCTCCTCCACATTACCACCCCCCAACTACACCCCACTGGGTTAAGGGGCGGCACCGGACTAAGGGGCAGCACCGGACTACGGGGCAGTACCGGACTAAGGGGCAGTACCGGACTAAGGGGCAGTACCAGGCTGAATGGCGGATACTGGCTGGACGGCTCTGGTGGCTCCTGGCTGGTCGGCTCTGGCGGATCCTGGCTGGACGGCTCTGGCGGATCCCGGCTGGACGGCTCTGGCGGATCCCGGCTGGACGGCTCTGGCGGATCCCGGCTGGACGGCTCTGGCGGATCCCGGCTGGACGGCTCTGGCGGATCCTGGCTGGACGGCTCTGGCGGGTCCCGGCTGGACGGCTCTGGCGGATCCCGGTTGGACGGCTCTGGCGGATCCTGGCTGGACGGCTCTGGCGGATCCCGGCTGGACGGCTCTGGCGGATCCCGGCTGGACGGCTCTGGCGGATCCTGGCTGGACGACGGATCTGGCTGCTCATGGCTGGCTGACGGATCTGGCTGCTCATGGCTGGCTGAAGGCTCTGGCTGATCCCGTCTGGCGGAAGGCTCTGGCTGCTCCTGTCTGGCGGAAGGCTCTGGCTGATCCGGTCTGACGGAAGGCTCTGGCTGCTCCTGTCTGGCGGAAGGCTCTGGCTGATCCTGTCTGGCGGAAGGCTCTGGCTGATCCTGTCTGGCGGAAGGCTCTGGCTGATCCTGTCTGGCGGAAGGCTCTGGCTGATCCTGTCTGGCGGAAGGCTCTGACTGATCCTGTCTGGCGGAAGGCTCTGGCTGATCCTGTCTGGCGGAAGGCTCTGGCTGATCCTGTCTGGCGGAAGGCTCTGACTGATCCTGTCTGGCGGAAGGCTCTGGCTGATCCTGTCTGGCGGAGAGCTCTAGCGGCTCCGGTCTGGCGGACGGCTCTGAAGGCTCATGGCAGACGGGCGGCTTTGCAGGCTCAGTACAGACGGGCAGTTCAGACGGCGTTGGGCAGACGGACAGTTCAGACGGCGTTGGGCAGACGGGCAGTTCAGACGGCGTTGGGCAGACGGGCAGTTCAGACGGCGTTGGGCAGACGGGCAGTTCAGACGGCGTTGGGCAGACGGGCAGTTCAGGCGCCTTTGGGCAGACGGGCAGTTCAGGCGCCGTTGGGCAGACGGGCAGTTCAGACGGCGTTGGGCAGACGGGCAGTTCAGACGGCGTTGGGCAGACGGCAGACTCTGGCTGTCTGAGGCGCATCGTAGGCCTGGTGCGTGGTGCCGGAACAGGAGGTACCGGGCTGAGGACACGCATCTCAGGGCTAGTGCGGGGAGAAGCAACAGGGCATGCTGGACCCTGGGGACGCACCGTAGGCCTGATGCGTGGTGCCGGAACTGGAGGTACCGGGCTGAGGACACGCATCTCAGGGCTAGTGCGGGAAGCAGGAACAGGACGCACAGGACTCGGGGAACACACAGGAGGCTTAGTCCGTGGTGTAGGCCCTGGTGGTAATGGACTGGAGACAGGAGGTGGTGCCGGAAATACCGGACCGTGCAGGCGTACTGGCTCCCTTGAGCACTGAGCCTGACCAACCTTACCTGGTTGTATGCTCCCCGTCGCCTGACCAGTACAGGGAGGTGGAATAACCCGCACCGGGCTATGTAGGCGAACCGGGGACACCATGCGTAAGGCTGGTGCCATGTAAGCCGGCCCGAGGAGACGCACTGGTGACCGGATGCGTGGGGCCGGCCTCATGACATCTGGCTCAATGCTCAGTCTAGCCCGGCCGATACGTGGAGCCGGAATGTACCGAACCGGGCTATGCCTGCGTACAGGAGACACCATGCGCTCTACTGCGTAACACGGTGTCTGCCCGTACTCTCGCTCTCCACGGTCAGTCCAGGGAGTAGGCGCAGGTCTCCTACCTGACTTCGCCACACTCCCTTCTAGCCCCCCCCCAAGAAATTTTTGGGTAGTACTCTCGGGCTTCCAGCCTTGCCTCCGTGCTGCCTCCTCATATCGCCGCCTCTCGGCTTTAGCTGCCTCCCGCTCTTCACGAGGACGGCGATATTCTCCCGGTTGATCCCAAGGCCCCTCACCATCCAGAATCTCCTCCCATGTCCATGAATCCTTTATGGGAGTCCATAAATCCTGTGTAGGTAGGTCCTGTTGCCGCTTGACACGCTGCTTGGTCTTTTTGTGGTGGGTTTTTCTGTCACGATCGTCTAAAGGAGGAGACCAATGCGCAGCGTTGCGAGTGAACATGATGACTTTAATAAGAAAAGCACGTCAATACAAAACAAAAGAACGAAAGTGAAGTCCACAGTACAACGACTGAAACACGGAACAAAAACCCACAACCCACATACGAACACAGACAGTTTAAATATGGCTCCCAATCAGAGATAACGAGCCGACAGCTGACACTCGTTACCTCCGATTGGGAGTCACCCACTACAACAATCAAGAACCTAGAAATAGACACACAGAACTCCCAACCTAGAAATAAACGTGACAGACATGCAAACATACAAAATCACCCAAAACCCAACAAAACAACATACACCCTGGCTCAAATACACAAGTCCTGGAGCCAGAGTGTGACAGCCCCATTCAATGAAGCGAAGATTTCTGTTTTTTTGTCTTATTTCTTGTTTGTTTCACAAGAAAAAAACATTTTGCATCTTCAAAGTGGTAGGCATGTTGTGTAAATAAAATGATACAAACCCCTCAAAAAATCAATTTTAATTCCAGGTTGTAAGGCAACAAAATAGGAAAAATGCCAAGGGGGGTGAATACTTTTGCATGCCACTGTATATACAGGGGGTGCCGGTACTGAGTCAATGTGCGGGGGCACCGGTTAGTCGAGGTAATTGAGGTAATATGTACATGTAGGTAGAGTTATTAAAGTGACTATGCATAGATAATAAACAGAGAGTAGCAGCAGCTTAAAGGGGGGGCAATGCAAATAGTCTGGATAGCCATTTGAGTAAATCAAATCAAATTTGACACCACCTGCTATAGAGGTCCTGGATGGCAGGAAGCTTGGCCCCAGTGATGTACTGGGCCGTACGCACTACCCTCTGTAGTGCCTTGCGGTCGGAGGCCGAGCAGTTGCCATACCAGGCGGTGATGCAACCAGTCAGGATGCTCTCGATGGTGCAGCTGTAGAACTTTTTGAGGATCTGTGGACCCATGCCAAATATTTTCAGTCTCCTGAGGGGGAATAGGCATTGTCGTGCCCTCTTCACAACTGTCTTGGTGTGTTTGGACAATGATAGTTTGTTGGTGATGTGGACACCAAGGAACTTGAAGCTCTCAACCTGCTCCACTACAGCCCCGTCGATGAGAATGGGGGCGTGCTCAGTCCTCTTTTTTTTCCTGTAGTCCACAATCATCTCCTTTGTCTTGGTCATGTTGAGGGAGAGGTCTCTGACCTCCTCCCTATAGGCTGTCTCATCGTTGTCGGTGATCAGGCCTACCACTGTTGTGTCATCGGCAAACTTAATTATCGTGTTGGAGTCGTGCCTGGCCATGCAGTCATGGGTGAACAGGGAGTACAGGAGGGGACTGAGCACGCACCCCTGAGGGGCCCTCGTGTTGAGGATCAGCGTGGCAGATGTGTTGTTACCTACCCTTACCACCTGGGGGCGGCCCGTCAGGAAGTCCAAGGTCCAGGTGCAGAGGGAGGTGTTTAGTCCCAGGATCCTTAGCTTAGTGATGAGCTTTGAGGGCACTATGGTGTTGAACGCTGAGCTGTAGTCAATGAACAGCATTCTCACGTACAATTGAAGTCAGATGTTTACATACACCTTAGCCAAATGCATTTAAAGTCAGTTTTTCACAATTCCTGACATTTAATCCTAGTAAAAATTATGTTATGATCACCACTTTATTTTAAGAATGTGAAATGTCAGAATAATAATAATATAATAATAATAATAATAATAATATAATATGCCATTTAGCAGACGCTTTTATCCAAAGCGACTTACAGTCATGTGTGCATACATTTTTACGTATGGGTGGTCCCGGGGATCGAACCCACTACCTTGGCGTTACAAGCGCCGTGCTCTACCAGTTGAGCTACAGAGGACCACATAATAGTAGAGAGAATGATTTATTTCAGCTTTTATTTCTTTAATCACATTCCCAGTGGGTCAGAAGTTTACATACACTCAATTAGTATTTGGTAGCATTGCCTTTAAATTGTTTAACTTGGGTCAAACGTTTCGGGTAGCCTTCCACAAGCTTCCCACAATAAGTTGGGTGAATTTTGGCCCATTCCTTCTGACAGAGCTGGTGTAACTGAGTCAGGTTTGTAGGCTTCCTTGCACGCACACGCTTTTTTAGTTCCTCCCACACATTTTCTGTAGGATTGAGGTCAGGGCTTTGTGATGGCCACTCCAATACCTTGACTTTGTTGTCCTTAAGCCATTTTCCACAACTTTGGAAGTATGCTTGGGGTCATTGTCCATTTGGAAGACCCATTTGCGACCAAGCTTTGACTTCCTGACTGATGTCTTGAGAAGTTGCTTCAATATATACACATACTTTTCCTTCCTCATGATGCCATCTATTTTGTGAAGTGCACCAGTCCCTCCTGCAGCAAAGCACCCCCACAGCATGATGCTGCCACCCCTGTGCTTCACGGTTGGGATGGTGTTCTTCGGCTTGCAAGCAACCCCCTTTTTCCTCCTAACATAACGATGGTCATTATGGCCAAACAGTTCTATTTTTGTTTCATCAGACCAGAGGACATTTCTCCAAAAAATACGATCTTTGTCCCTATGTGCAGTTGCAAACCGTAGTCTGGCTTTTTTATGGCGGTTTTGGAGCAGTGGCTTCTTCCTTGCTGAGCGGCCTTTCAGGTTATGTCGATATAGGACTCGTTTTACTGTGGATATAGATACATTTGTACCTGTTTCCTCCAGCATCTTCACAAGGTCCTTTGCTGTTGTTCTGGGATTGATTTGCACTTTTCGCACCAAAGTACGTTAATCTCTAGGAGACAGAACGCGTCTCCTTCCTGAGCGGTATGACGGCTGCGTGGTCCCATGTTGTTTATACTTGCATACTATTGTTTGTACAAATGAACGTGGTACCTTCAGGCGTTTGAAAATTGCTCCCAAGGATGAACCAGACTTGTGGAGGTCTACAACTTGGCTGATTTCTTTTGATTTTCACATGATGTCAAGCAAAGAGGCACTGAGTTTGAAGGTAGGCCTTGAAATACATCCACAGGTACACCTCCAATTGACTCAAATGATGTCAATTAGCCTATCAGAAGCTTCTAGACATCAATTTCTGGAATTTTTCAAGCTGTTTAAAGGCATAGTCAACTTAGTGTATGTAAACTTCTGACCCACTGGAATTGTGATACAGTGAATTATAAGTGAAATAATCTGTCTGTAAACAATTGTTGGAAAAATTACAGTGAGGGGAAAAAAAGTATTTGATCCCCTGCTGATTTTGTCCGTTTGCCCACTGACAAAGACATGATCAGTCTATAATTTTAATGGTAGGTTTATTTGAACAGTGAGAGACAGAATAACAACAAAAAAATACAGATAAACGCATGTCAAAAATGTTATAAATTGATTTGCATTTTAATGAGGGAAATAAGTATTTGACCCCTCTGCAAAATATGACTTAGTACTTGGTGGCAAAACCCTTGTTGGCAATCACAGAGGTAAGACGTTTCTTGTAGTTGGCCACCAGGTTTGCACACATCTCAGGAGGGATTTTGTCCCACTCCTCTTTGCAGATCTTCTCCAAGTCATTAAGGTTTCGAGGCTGACGTTTGGCAACTCGAACCTTCAGCTCCCTCCACAGATTTTCTATGGGATTAAGGTCTGGAGACTGGCTAGGCCATTCCAGGACCTTAATGTGCTTCTTCTTGAGCCACTCCTTTGTTGCCTTGGCCGTGTGTTTTGGGTCATTGTCATGCTGGAATACCCATCCACGACCCATTTTCAATGCCCTGGCTGAGGGAAGGAGGTTCTCACCCAAGATTTGACGGTACATGGCCCCGTCCATCGTCCCTTTGATGCGGTGAAGTTGTCCTGTCCCCTTAGCAGAAAAACACCCCTAAAGCATAATGTTTCCACCTCCATGTTTGACGGTGGGGATGGTGTTCTTGGCGTCATAGGCAGCATTCCTCCTCCAAACACGGCGAGTTGAGTTGATGCCAAAGAGCTCCATTTTGGTCTCATCTGACCACAACACTTTCACCCAGTTCTCCTCTGAATCATTCAGATGTTCATTGGCAAACTTCAGACAGGCATATATATGTGCTTTCTTGAGCAGGGGGACCTTGCGTGCGCTGCAAGATTTCAGTCCTTCATGGCGTAGTGTGTTACCAATTGTTTTCTTGGTGACTATGGTCCCAGCTGCCTTGAGATAATTGACAAGATCCTCCTGTGTAGTTCTGGGCTGATTCCTCACCGTTCTCATGATCATTGCAACTCCACGAGGTGAGATTTTGCATGGAGCCCCAGGCCAAGGGAGATTGACAGTCTTTTGTGTTTCTTCCATTTGCGAATAATCACACCAACTGTTGTCACCTTCTCACCAAGCTGCTTGGCGATGGTCTTGTAGCCCATTCCAGCCTTGTGTAGGTCTACAATCTTGTCCCTGACATCCTTGGAGAGCTCTTTGGTCTTGGCCATGGTGGAGAGTTTGGAATCTGATTGATTGATTGCTGCTGTGGACAGGTGTCTTTTATACAGGTAACAAGCTGAGATTAGGAGCACTCCCTTTAAGAGTGTGCTCCTAATCTCAGCTCGTTACCTGTATAAAAGACACCTGGAAGACAGAAATCTTTCTGATTGAGAGTGGGTCAAATTCTTATTTCCCTCATTAAAATGCAAATCAATTTATAACATTTTTGACATGCGTTTTTCTGGATTTTTGTTGTTGTTATTCTGTCTCTCACTGTTCAAATAAACCTACCATTAAAATGATAGACTGATCATTTCTTTGTCAGTGGGCAAACGTACAAAATCAGCAGGGGATCAAATACTTTTTTCCCTCACTGTACTTCTGTCATGCACAAAGTAGATGTCCTAACCGACTTGCCAAAACTATAGTTTGTTAACAAGAAATTTGTGGAGTGGTTGAAAAACGAGTTTTAATGACTCCAACCTAAGTGTATGTTAACTTCCGACTTCAACTGTAGGTGTTCCTCTTGTCCAGGTGGGAAAGGGCAGTGTGGAGTGCAATAGAGATTGCATCATTTGTGGATCTGTTGGGGCGGTATGCAAATTGGAGTGGGATAATGGTGTTGATGTGAGCCATGACCAGCCTTTCAAAGCACTTCATGGCTACAGACGTGATGCTACGGGTCGGTAGTCATTTAGGCAGGTTATCTTAGTGTCCTTGAGCACAGGGACTATGGTGGTCCACTTGAAACATGTTGGTATTACAGAATCAGACAGGGAGAAGTTGAAAATGTCAGTGAAGACACTTGCCAGTTGGTCAGCGCATGCTCGGAGTACACGTCCTGGTAATCCGTCTGGCCCTGCGGCCTTGTGAATGTTGACCTGTTTAAAGGTCTTACTCACATCGACTACGGAGAGCGTGATCACACAGTCGTCCGGAACAGCTGATGCTCTCATGCATGCTTCAGTGTTGCTTGCCTCGATGCGATCATATAAGTAATTTAGCTTGTCTGGAAGGCTTGTGTCACTGGGCAGCTTTTGGCTGTGCTTCCCTTTGTAGTCTGTAATAGTTTTCAAGCCCTGCCACATCTTATTTCTTATAAGCGTCCGGGTTAGAGTCCCGTTCCTTGAAAGCGGCAGCTCTACCCTTTTAGCTCATTGCGGATGTTGCCTGTAATCCATGGCTCTGGTTGGTGGTATGTACGTACAGTCACTTTGGGGACGACGTCATCGATGCACTTATTGATGAAACCAATTACTAATGTGGTGTACGGGGAAACGGAGGTAACGGAGGTGCGGGTGGTTGTTGCTGGGGTAACGGAGGTGCAGGTGGTTGTTGCTGGGGTAACGGAGGTGCAGGTGCTAGTTGCTGGGGTAACGGAGGTGCAGGTGGTTGTTGCTGGGGTAAAGGAGGTGCAGGTGCTTGTTGTGATGTTACCCTCGTTCTGCTGTTGCTAGGACCTGGCTCTTCTTAATCTTGTTGGTCAGCAGGCGGTATGGGCGGGTATTACATTTGCTGCTAGGTTCCTCAACCTCTGTGGTTGGGTCAGCAGGCTGCTCGGTGAGCTCAGCTTCGCACTCAACATGGTGGTCCTCTATTTTTTTGCTCTTGGCAGTGCCCAGCCATTTTCAGATATCCATTCTGATTAGCCAGATTATAATTATTCAGCTTGCGGCTAACAAAACATAATGAAGCTAGTAGCTACTAGCTATCCTATTATTAGCTGTAGCTACTAGCTATCCTATTATTAGCTGTAGCTACTAGCTAGCCTATTATTAGCTGTAGCTACTAGCTATCCTATTATTAGCTGTAGCTACTAGCTAGCCTATTATTAGCTGTAGCTACTAGCTAGCCTATTATTAGCTGTAGCTACTAGCTAGCCTATTATTAGCTGTAGCTACTAGCTAGCCTATTATTAGCTGTAGCTAATGTGGCCCTGTGTAGCTCAATTGGTAGAACATGGCGCTTGCAATGGCAGGGTTGTGGGTTCGATTCCCACGGGGGGCCAGTATGATATATTTATTTTTTTAACTAACTGTAAGTCGCTCTGGATAAGAGCGTCTGCTAAATGAATAAAATGTCAAATCTGTAGCTACTAGCTAGCCTATTATTAGCTGTAGCTACTAGCTAGCCAATTATTAGCTGTAGCTGTCTGTAAAAGTTAACAACTTTTTGTTCCTCTCTGTGAGAAAACAACGGTCAAATTGACCCACGTCCTGTGACCACCCGCCAACGTGGCTGGTGAAATAGTACCCACCAATGCCAAAATCTACCCCCATGTGGCAGGTGTTAATTTCCAACCCTGAGTGTGTGCTGACGTGATATGTTACTATGGCTGTATGAACCTCCAGTTTTTTTTTTTATACACATTGAAGGGATAGGGAGCCAGTTGGGAGCGTCTGACTCTCGAATCACCCAACGTTCCTCCACCCCGTCCCCTCCAGGTATCCTCTCTAGAGGGCCAGGTGGCCAGGCTGAGAGCAGCAGTGGAGCGAGGAGAGGCACAGAGACAGACTCTAGAGTATGATATGGCTGTAGCCAGGAAGGAGGCTGGAGCGGAGAGGAGTAACGTCCAGGAAAACATGGCTGCTCTCTGCAGTCAGAACGAACAACTCATGGGTAAGAGAGAGAGAGAGAGAGAGAGAGAGAGAGAGAGAGAGAGAGAGAGAGAGAGAGAGAGAGAGAGAGAGATTGATAGTGCTGAGCGATTAGTGCTTTTTGAGGTCGGTTTTGGTTCAATTATTTAAAAAAAAATCTGTTTCGATCATTTTTGAAAACATGGATGTGTTATGAATGCAACCCTGACTAATAGTGCTGAGTGGTTAGTGCTTTTTGAGGTCGGTTCGATTATTAATAAATAATCACGGTTGTTGATTTTGAGAATTTTTTTCAACATGAAATCCATTATGAAATAATGATTTAGAGCTTTTTAATGGAAATTCCAAAAGGCAAAAATAATTAACATTCAATGGCCAAAAGATTGAACATATTCCATTGTCTCTGTCAGGTCCACATTGGGTAGACACCAATGGAAACATAGACAATTACTATGAAATAACAAAATATATTTCAGTTGTGTATATATTACTTAGTTTTTATTTGAAGACTATTATTTTTCATTCCTTAAAGTCGTCATCTTATCTCTACTCAGGCTGTAGCAGTCAGCCAGCCAGACCATCTAACGTTATCTCTGCTCAGGCTGTAGCAGTCAGCCAGCCAGACCATCTAACGTTATCTCTACTCAGGCTGTAGCAGTCAGCCAGCCAGACCATCTAACGTTATCTCTGCTCAGGCTGTAGCAGTCAGCCAGCCAGACCATCTAACGTTATCTCTACTCAGGCTGTAGCAGTCAGCCAGCCAGACCATCTAACGTTATCTCTGCTCAGGCTGTAGCAGTCAGCCAGCCAGACCATCTAACGTTATCTCTACTCAGGCTGTAGCAGTCAGCCAGCCAGACCATCTAACGTTATCTCTACTCAGGCTGTAGCAGTCAGCCAGCCAGACCATCTAACGTTATCTCTGCTCAGGCTGTAGCAGTCAGCCAGCCAGACCATCTAACGTTATCTCTACTCAGGCTGTAGCAGTCAGCCAGCCAGACCATCTAACGTGATCTCTACTCAGCCTGTAGCAGTCAGCCAGCCAGACCATCTAACGTTATCTCTGCTCAGGCTGTAGCAGTCAGCCAGCCAGACCATCTAACGTTATCTCTGCTCAGGCTGTAGCAGTCAGCCAGCCAGACCATCTAACGTTATCTCTGCTCAGGCTGTAGCAGTCAGCCAGCCAGACCATCTAACGTTATCTCTGCTCAGGCTGTAGCAGTCAGCCAGCCAGACCATCTAACGTTATCTCTGCTCAGGCTGTAGCAGTCAGCCAGCCAGACCATCTAACGTCACGTGTTCCCCATCTTTAGTCATCCTGTTTAGCCAGCCTGTCTTAAGTATGCTGCAGAGCTGTCTGACGTAATCATTACTAGTTCTTCAAAGTAGATGAGGCATGCTAACTCTCTATCCCTCTCTCTTGTTGTTATGTGGTCTGTGCGTATCTTACCTAACGTAGCAGGCGTAAAAGTGTATCCTTCCAGAGATCTGTATATAATGACGAGATGCTCATGTCTCCGCTCTAACAATGGGAGTCGTTTTCCCAAATGTGGGAAGGCAGGCGACAAGCTTAGGTCCAAAATAAGCCCATAGAAACGCATTGGGATATTTTTGGACAGATTGTGGAGAGAGTGAAACCTCTCGCTTCGCCTCTTCCTCTCTGATCCGTCTGAGCCCAAAGAAAACTGACGCAATGGATTATGGTCATTGCAGTTCATTACCACGTTTCGGCGCTGAACTAGGTTGAGTATTTGCTTAATGAAAACGACAACTCCCTTCAGCCCAGCGTCCCACATAGTTCTTGACTTGATTTCTCTCCTGAATGATTTGATTTCTCCCTAGAGAAACGGCGGGTTGGGCTCACAAAAAAAACAGCTAAATGGAATTCAAGTAGTTGAACCGACGTCAGTCAAAAAAATTAAATGTCTGTTAATTGCTCAGCACTAGAGATTGATGTTGATTATTTGAGTGTGTATTGATGATGATGATGATGGTGTGTATGTTTGTGTCTGTATCGATGCTTTATGTGTATCTATGATATACTGTGTGTGTGTGTGTGTGTGTGTGTGTGTGTGTGTATCTGTCTCAGAGCTGCAGCAGAGAGTTTCTGTCCTCCAGAAGGCTCTGGAGATCACGCGGATGGCCCGGGAGGAGGACCAGCATGCATTGCAACAGGAAGTGGAGGAGCGGAACGGACTGGTGCTGAGTGCTAACACAGAGAATGACCAGCTGACCGCAGAGAACACACACCTACACACCCTGCTCCAGGTAACACACCTATACACCCTGCTGCAGGTAACACACCTATACACCCTGCTCCAGGTAACACACCTATACACCCTGCTCCAGGTAACACACCTATACACCCTGCTCCAGGTAACACACCTATACACCCTGCTCCAGGTAACACACCTACACACCCTGCTCCAGGTAACACACCTATACACCCTGCTCCAGGTAACACACCTATACACCCTGCTCCAGGTAACACACCTATACACCCTGCTCCAGGTAACACCCCTGCTCCAGGTAACACACCTATACACCCTGGCTCCAGGTAACACACCTATACACCCTGCTCCAGGTAACACACCTATACACCCTGCTCCAGGTAACACACCTATACACCCTGCTCCAGGTAACACACCTATACACCCTGCTGCAGGTAACACACCTATACACCCTGCTCCAGGTAACACACCTATACACCCTGCTCCAGGTAACACACCTATACACCCTGCTGCAGGTAACACACCTATACACCCTGCTCCAGGTAACACACCTATACACCCTGCTCCAGGTAACACACCTATACACCCCTGCTGCAGGTAACACACCTATACACCCTGCTCCAGGTAACACACCTATACAACCTGCTCCAGGTACACACCTATACACCCTGCTGCAGGTAACACACCTATACACCCTGCTCCAGGTAACACACCTATACACCCTGCTGCAGGTAACACACCTATACACCCTGCTGCAGGTAACACACCTATACACCCTGCTCCAGGTAACACACCTATACACCCTGCTGCAGGTAACACACCTATACACCCTGCTCCAGTACACCCTGCTCCAGGTAACACACCTATACACCCTGCTCAGGTAACACACCTATACACCCTGCTCCAGGTAACACACCTATACACCCTGCTCCAGGTACACACCTATACACCCTGCTCCAGGTAACACACCTATACACCCTGCTCCAGGTAACACACCTATACACCCTGCTCCAGGTAACACACCTATACACCCTGCTCCAGGTAACACACCTATACACCCTGCTCCAGGTAACACACCTATACACCCTGCTCCAGGTAACACACCTATACACCCTGCTCCAGGTAACACACCTATACACCCGGCTGCAGGTATCCACTAAGGCCCAGAGAATCCCGCCGGGTTTTTCTTTAAGGCAAATATGCTCCTCTGCTGGTGCAATGGGTCTAATGACACATATGTGAAGAAGTAGAGGTTGACTGCACTTCCCGTCTCAACACACTAACACAATACATGTCATTCGACATTTAATTACGAGGACCTCTGCTCTACACTGTTAGCTATTTGACCAGTCAGTTAAACAGGTGATGTAGTTAGTTTGTTTTCATGAAAAGTGTTGGATCACGTCCAACTACGCCAATTATTTTAATTGGCTGATACAGAATTTGTTACTGGACATAATCGTGTTGGTCGTACTTAGCGTAGTGGCTAACTGTGCCAGGTTGTCGTATGAAAGAAGCTAGCAGCTAGCCAGCCATTTTAGACCTAATGTCTAAACCTCTGGTCTAAGCAAAAGTACGGACCCTCTTTGTTTGGCATCACCATAACAGAATTATTAAAAACATACATCAGTCACTTACAACTCCTGTTAATTCAGTGGTAGATGCAGCAGGACTGAACTCTAGTGGGCGTTTAGAAGGCACACAGTGTAGAGTAGTTTGGTGGGCTTAGATCAAAACAGTCTCCATGAGAAAGTAGGATTTTTCTGTTGTTGAATATTAACCCTTTGTTAACCCTCTGCCTCCCTCCCTCACCCCCTCGGTCCCTCCCTCCCTCTCACCTCTCCCTCCCTCCCTCCCTCTCCCCTCACCTCTCCCTCCCTCCCTCCCTCCCCCCTCACCTCTCCCTTCCTCCCTCCCTCTCCCCTCACCTCTCCCTCCCTCCCCTCACCCCTCCCTCCCTACCCTCACCCCTCCCTCCCTCCCCCCTCCCTCCCTCCCTTCCTTCCTTCCTCCCTCCCTCTCCCCTCACCTCTCCCTCCCTCCCCCCTCTCCTCTCCCTCCCTCCCTCCCTCCCTCCTCCCTCACCTCTCCCTTCCTCTCCCCCAGGAACAGGAGGAGACTCTGCAGGAGCTGAAGAGGAGGTTGGGGGAGGTGCAGAGAGAGAGGGAGAGAGACGGGGAGGCACTACGACGACACACCAGTGAACTGGGCTACATCACGGAGAGAGAGGAGAGAATGAAGAAAGAATTAGAGGTAAGGGGAGGGAGGGAGGGAGGGAGGGAGAGAGGGAGAGAGAGAGGGAGAGAGGGAAAGAGAGAGAGAGATAATCTTATATAATAATAATCCTGTTTACATGGACACATCTGAAATCAGGCTACCTGATGGGACTTTTGATAAATCCAGCAAATCGCCAATCAAAATAAACATTGTACCACAGCGACCATGAAACCGTTTTGATTCGGAGTTTGGATGTGAAAACTATTTCTAAGATGCATCATTTCAGTTTTTCCCGAACTCACTTCACTCGCGCGTAATAATAAAATGCCATTTAGCAGACGCTTTTATCCAAAGCGACTTACAGTCGTGCGTGCATACATTTTTGTGTATGGGTGGTCCCGGGGATCGAACCCACTACCTTGGCGTTCCAAGCGCCATGCTCTACCAGCTGAGCTACAGAGGACCCCATAGGCGTAAGAAGGAGGCTTGTGGTGCTGGCACATGCTGCAGATCAAATACACTGCTGGAAAGCCAATGAAGCTGTTTACAGCTCCTAATCATTTGAGAGATTGCTCAGAAAACCAGGTGTTTTAATCAGCGTATGCTTACTTTGATTTCGACCTTACGCCGATTTAAGATAAGCAGAGGAAGGTGTTTACATGACTAATGCATAAGGAGGTGAACTGGGCTACATCACAGAGAGAGAGGAGAGGGATGGGAGGGAGGTGAACTGGGCTACATCACAGAGAGAGAGGAGAGGGATGGGAGGGAGGTGAACTGGGCTACATCACAGAGAGAGAGGAGAGGGGTGGGAGGGAGGTGAACTGGGCTACATCACAGAGAGAGAGGAGAGGGATGGGAGGGAGGTGAACTGGGCTACATCACAGAGAGAGAGGAGAGGGGTGGGAGGGAGGTGAACTGGGCTACATCACAGAGAGAGAGGAGAGGGGTGGGAGGGAGGTGAACTGGGCTACATCACAGAGAGAGAGGAGAGGGGTGGGAGGGAGGTGAACTGGGCTACATCACAGAGAGAGAGGAGAGGGATGGGAGGGATGGGGGGGGCTACATCACAGAGAGAGAGGAGAGGGATGGGAGGGAGGTGAACTGGCCTACATCACAGAGAGAGAGGAGAGGGATGGGAGGGAGGTGAACTGGGCTACATCACAGAGAGAGAGGAGAGGGATGGGAGGGAGGTGAACTGGGCTACATCACAGAGAGAGAGGAGAGGGATGGGAGGGATGGGGGGGGTTTGGAGAGGGAAGAAGAGGGGAGAAAGAGAGATATAAAAGTGTGTGTGTTCCCCAGGAACCAACATAGGACCACCTTTATAATAAAATAATAATAATATGCCATTTAGCAGACGCTTTTATCCAAAGCAACTTACAGTCATGTGCGCATACATTTTTACGTATGGGGTGGTCCCGGGGATCGAACCCACTACCCTGGGCGTTACAAGCGCCGTGCTCTACCGATTGAGCTACAGAGGACCACCCTAGAGTCAAGACTCTAGAAACCAACATAGAACCACCCTACAGGCTAGACTAGTTGAACCCGTATTTCAAAGGGAAATTTCACTTTTTTTTT